ATATATATATATATAAAGATGTAAAAGAACCTACCCCTGAAACCAGGGAACATATGGGCCAATGGCTGAGCTTCCCAGAGAGGTTTGAAGGGACTATCAGAAGTAACCTGACTTTTGAATGTAGTCATCACTCAGGAGTTGAAATAATGAACAGATCCTACAAGCTCACTCGTTCTCATTTCCTCTCCTGTTGTCCATTTCTGGATCATTTCCCTTCTCACTACCATAGTCCAATGCCAAACATTTCCAAGAGTGACATAGTCAGGTTGGCTCTTTTCTAGCAGCTACAGCAAACAGATGAACAGTAATAAGATGACCTGAAATCAATACATCATTTTCATGGGTCATCACCCCCACACTCTCATTTGGCCTGAAGCCCATGCCATGAGGGGCAAGGAAGGTAGTTTTCATGGTATATAATAAAAACTTAGCAACCACCAGGTTTCTACAGGTCAGTGGGGTTGGCATGGTGGGCCAATGAGAGCCAAGCCAGTTTACCAAGAAGGCACACTAGCCCATGGTTCCTGGTTTTTGTTGTTGTCGTCAGGCAGATTTTAGAGAAAGGACATAATAGTGGTCATCAGGGAAAAAATCAAAGATTTGTTAGGTTTCCATTTTTTTTAATATATATGTTTTTGATTTTGTTTTATTTTAAAGTACTTAATGGGGATAAAAGAAGGAAGAGATTGGGCATCATAACCTTTTGCATGGTTAGGGCCTCTAGAGTCAGGGGTACTACCTTGGGCCAGCAACGCTCTCAGATTAGAATTACAATTTCAGGGTATCTAATGGAGAGCAGAAGGCAGCAAAGAGGCATTGGATTGACATCACTGGAAACATCACACAGCTCTATGAATTTGCCATGGAAGCGTCTATGCTGTTATCTTAGGAGTACACAGCTTTCAAAGGGCATGAGCATTGCCACGTCTTGTACTGTCCAAAGGCTGCTGTTCAAAGGATGGGTTTGCGGATAAGCAGCATCAGGATCAGCAGAACTTCAGATTCTCAGAACTACTGAGTCCGAACTTGCATTTTAACAAGATCCCAAGTCATTCGTATGTATATTCAAGTTTGAGAAACATTGGTCTGTCTAGGACAGGAGTTAACCAAATCTTATTAGCTGTTTTAGCGAATAAAACTTTATAGGATCACAGCCGTGTCTGTTCACCCATGACTATTTTCACGCTACTACAGGCAGAGTTGAGTGGCTACATCAGAGACAATATGGCCTGCAAAGTCTGAAACATTTACTATATGGCCTTGTTCCAAACTCTGGACTAGAACACATCAGAGGTTTCTGGCTTTAGTCAAGAAAAGTGTGCTTCTCAAAGCAAACTTTAGTTTCTTTATACCTCAGCAACTACTGAAAAATGAATTATGTGTTTATGTTCAATACCCATGCTCTACTAACAGCCCTGCCTAATCTGGGATGATTTTGTGCTGGGTTACAGACTTAAGAGACTGCCTAGGACCTCTGAGGACCTCTGTGCTCTACTGCTTCCTAAAGCTGAGCTCTGTTCTGATTTTCAACTCTCCTCAGGAGCCTTCAAAGATTCCCTTCTGCTTACAGAATACGGTCCATAACCTTAGGTCTCTACCCCTTTTGGATTCTCTCTTTTCAGCCTCATTTCCACTCATTGACCCCACCTCATATACCCAACAAGGCACTCAAACTAAACAGCCAACTATTTCTCTGCCTCCATGCCTTCACACTGCTGCTACATCTTCTCAAAATGCTCCTGTCCACATATCCAGATGTTTCCTTAAGGCCCATCTCAAACAGTGCTTCTTCCAAAAACTTCCCAATTCCCCAAGAACAAATCACAAGTCTCCTTCTTCCTTTCAATATTCACAATAAAAGCACATCCTCCAAGGTACTTGCAGCTTTCCATATCCTTTTACAATTATTTGTGAGCATGTCGTTTATTCTGCTTTTAGCATTCTCAGCAGTGCCTTGGCTACCTTGCTCAAGGACTAATGAATATAGATAGATAGATGATAGATAGATAGATAGATAGATAGATAGATAGATAGATAGATAGATCGATCGATCTATAGGTAGATAAATAGATATATCTATAGATAGATAGATAGATAGATAGATAGATAGATAGATAGATAGATATCTACACACACACACACACGCACACACACACACACACACTCACGGTAACATTCCCTCATTTCACATAAAGAAATAAATTCCCTTTAAAAGGGAGCTTCTAAGAAAAGGAATTACCTACAATGGAAGTTCAGCATGTTCCTTGTTTGGGTTGCCCCATTGAAACAAACCCCAGAGCCATCTATTCCTGAATGGATTACCACAGCTTGCCAGGTAATAACGCCTCTACCGCACCACACAGCTATAGGGACTAAATGGAATAACCTACATAAAAAGTACCTAGAACAATTCCTGGCACATAAAAGGTACTTAAATATTTGTTCCCTATGGTTCCCTTCCTTTCCTCAGGGGAATGGACCATATCCTAGCCTGTTTCCCACGCTGCTGAGAATAAAACACAACTAAATCCCTAGGCATTGATGAAGAACCAACCATTCATAGTCCTCTCGGGTGCAGGAGCAGTTGGACACGACCACTGGCCTGTCAAAGTCTTCTCCATTAAAGCACGTTGCATGAGGGGTCCTCCGCTTAAAAACAGTCTTGTGTCCTAGCAAACACTCGTTGCCCCGCTCATCAGATGGTGACCACAGCTTGTAGTCATTGTCTGTGCAGGGAACCCCTGAGGAAAGGAAATGCAGCATTAGAGGCAGGCCCATGTAGGGTTTCCTGTCCTTCCTTCCCATCAGCCCAGTCACCCACTTCCCACGATCCTGTTGTTGCCTGGCAAGCACACACACCTCTAGAGCTGTCCCAAGCCTCCAATCAGCTTGCTTTGAGGCCGAGTGACACCCACACAAATGAAAATGATACCCCCTGAAATACAGATGTTTATCTGAGAAAGCTGAGAAGAAGCAAGCCACCTTTGGCACTATCTAAACTTCTGATATATTTTAGCACATTCCATAGTTCCTTTTAGAAATAGGTGCCTAGAGGTGTTTATCTGCTAGGGAGTTAGGGAAATGCTGAATCTTTGATAGATGGTATCATTCAGGAGTACAGTTCCCCCACCTGCTTTCTGGGGTAGTGTGGGAACATCCAGTAGTATGGCCTGAGAGCAACAGAGAATTTTTTGTCAATGCACAGAAAGTGCAGGGTCTTCACGGAAGGATGAGAAATGGTAAGACAACTTGGATGATCACTCCATCTACCCATATGCACCCCAAATTTAAATAGAGTGGTGTCTACGGGAATTTCAAAGTAAACCTATGTCAATATTAGTACTTTATGTCTTTTTTATATATACATATCTTCAATCAGATTAAATGTTGCCTGAAAATGATGAACAACTGTCAACTCAATGCCATTCGAATTAGCAAGTACTTATTAAATTCTTACTGCCTGAAAGGCTATCAGGCTGTGCAGTTCATGTAAAACAAGTGTACAGAGGACAGGTTCTTATTTCCAAGGACCTTATAATCTAGTTAATCAGAGATGACACACATACAGAACAGATACAAATTTCTAATTCAAGGCAGATGAGTACACTTATACTCCGGACACAGAGAAGAGGGGAGGAGTCTCCTGGTTGTAATATTAGCAGCCAAACACACTGGATGCTGAAACATGAAAAGGATTTCGATTAGTGGAAATTGAATGGGTAACACAGGGGGCATTCCAGGCAGAGAAAAAGGAAAGGTAAGCGGGGCAGGGAAGGAAGGTGTTTATTTCTCCTTGGTTACTTACATATTTTGTGCCTAGACTAGCAGATCATGACGAGATCCTAAACAGCTCTGAGAGGACCCAGACCCATTTGACACACTGCCTTTCACATAGTAGTTACTGGCTGAATTTATCAAACTACAACTACTAATTTAGAAGAATGTCTTTCATTCATTCATCTATTCATTCATTCACGTGTTTAACACACATATTCCTAAACCTACTATGTGTCAATGACTGCATAAGGAAATGAGAATACAAAAAAATAACACATGATCCTATTAAGAATCGCCCGAGTAACAGCCTATATATTTCTCACTCACTTACTCTATATATGCCCATCTCCTTAAACAGATCATAAACTTTTCTGAGTACAAAGTATCTAAGCTGATGCCCTGGTCAATAAATATTTCGATGAAAAGAGCTAAGGAGGCAGCAGCTTACCCAGGGCATCCGTGGCATTGACTTGGAGGATCAGCCAGCTGTGGACAGTCTCTTTGCTGGAGCCAAAGATGGTGAAGACAGTGCTCTTCTCACCAGGTTCTGTAAGGAGCCCATACACAAACACTGGCTTCTCGGAGAAGATGAATGTTTTCCAGGTCTCCCCTTCATTGGTACTGTATCTGCCCAAATGCAAGTGAAAAGATCCTTGCAGTTAAAGTCTCTCCAGCAAGGGCTTGGTTTCCAGATAACACTCCCAATAATAGGAACCAGGACTCCTTGGAGAAATGGCTTATCCTGAGCTAAAGTACGGAAAGTTTAAGGTTGTGCCAGAAAGAAAAGAAGTGCTCAGAGACTAATAGAGTCAACACAAAAGGACATAGGAGCTACCTCAATGGACTCCAATTGGCCAAATTTAGGAAAATTTGAACATAAAAAAGAAAAATGATGGAAATAGATTATACACTGAATGAAAATAGAGAATAAGTTTCTAAATGACACTAAAAGAGAGAAGGGGAAGAGACTTTCTTCTTATATTCAATGCTACCTAATAAATGTTGAAAACTATGACAGAATGATAAAACTGACTGTTCTGTAACCCTCACTATAATAATTGACTCAGACAAGATCATCACTAGATGCTAAATCACTGGGTGAGAAGCACTGGGGACCAGGGTGGTCACATGATCTAAAGATAACCCAGATTAAGGGGGAAATGTCATTTTTACAGCAGACCATGTAAGAATCACAACCTTCACCAAAATTGGCATCACAAATAGTGGGACAACCTGACACTATGTGCTTCCAATAAAGCAATGAGGATAACACATCATCTATATACTATTCTATACAATTGAACAAATCCAGAATGTAAGACATTCTACAAGACAACTGGTCTGGAGTCTTCAAAAAACAAACAAACAAACAAACAAAAAAACAAGATTATGAAAACAAACAAAAAAGGCAGAAGGCTTGTTACAGATTAAGAGACTAAAGAGTTGTAACTACCAAATGCAATGTGTAAAGCTTGACTGAGTCCTGGATTAGAAAAAAGAGTAGCTATAAGAATATGGAATTGAGAAAAGATAAATGTAGTCTATAAGTAATATTTAGTTCATGTTAATTTCCTTAGATGTGATAATCCTGATTGTGTAAAAATACCCTTATTTATTGGAGATATAAGTATTGATAGGTAGGTAGCTAGGTAGGTAGAGAGACAGATGATAGATTGACAGATAGGCAAGCAGGCAGAGAGACAAACAGGATAGATAATACATGGGTAATAGAAGTTAAGCAGATGGGCAAAATATTAACAACTAATAATTCTATGTGAAGATTATATAAATGTTCTATATAATTCTTCCAATTTCTCCTGTGGTCTTAAAAATTAAAAAGTTGGATGAAAAGTATGTCCTGAGAAAAGTCTCTAAGGCCAACAATTCTATCAGAACAAAAAACACAAGCCCTTGAAAAAAGAAGCAGCACTGAATTTAACTGTACTGATTTTAAATTATCTTTTGTATTGAAGAGGAGGAGGAGAAGGAGAAAATGTGCCTAATATTTGCTCCTTCACCCAGTAGGCTGGTGAGATTCTCCACATGAGAAACCACTCGATTAGAAATTTCATTAGGATCACAGAGTTATTAAAACTCCCTGAAATCCTAATTATATATTTTTTTAAAAACTTATTTTTCTTTCAATTTCCCCATGTTTTTGAGATTTTCATATACTCACTCAGGATCTTAATATTTGACATAAATCTTATCATGGTATCATTCAATCCAAAATCTTCCTCCCATATTGTGATTACTAAAATTGATACTTCTGAAAGAAGGCTATGCATTAAACCAAGTGGTGATGTTATGAGGCAACATAAAAAATGTCAGTAGGGAATAAGTGATCTCTTCTAGAGATCTTCGAAGAGGAGAAATTCTCATCTGGCTGATATGCTTTTGGTTTAAGTTAATTTTGAGGCAGATATGGGGATAAGTTAGCTCATTCAATCTCCTTCTTGTATCAGTGAGATGAGCAAAAGTCTTAGTACCACTTTTAAAGTAGGGTAACAATACAGAATATTCTTTTCTTCATAAGAATTTTTGTGGACCACACAGAAAAAAATCACTCCCAGTGAAACAAACAAATCCCAAAGTGCTGATAAATGGTTTGATCTCAACCCAAAATAAGACATCTAGTTCTCACAGAGCTGGACCCATTTGTCAATGAGCTGGATAATAAAAATCAGGAACGTAAATCTACCGAATTTGCAAAGGGCACAAGGCTACTTGTACAGATAATAAATACCAAAAACAGTTAAAAGGTGATAAGAACATCTGCCCCTCTATAACTCATAGGGTGGAAGAAATCACATGGAGTTAGAACGACGTGAAAGAGGGCAGCTCTCTCTGGAACTCTCTTACTAAGTGTTTATTTACTACTAGCATTAGGTGCTGCAATCCAGTGAGTAGGTTAACTGCTGCCTCCCATGCTCTGGAACTGTGGAGCTGCTTCCAGAACTCAGGTCCAGAAAAGACAGCTGCTCTGCTAGGTGTAGTCTTTCCAGCAGCTTTTCAGGACTCCTAGACGGAAGTCCTAGGAACCCGGAAATCCCCTATGAGGAAAGATGCTTTGGGACAAGTACAAAGCATTATTAGTAACTACCAATAATATCGTTATGCTAACAGGAAAACTGCTGAGAAGCAATGGAAAATGATCTCATCCTTCATGATCAAGCCAACAAACTTGTGTTTGGGTCTTTTTTGGTCAATGTGCAAAAACACAACAGCCCCTTCTGAGCAGAAAGCTGAACACAAACAAGAAAATCCTGCCTCCCCTGAGCAGGTCCATGGTGACAGTATGCTAAATGAATGAGTAAGTGAATCCCCAGGACATATTCGTATTTACTCATTTCAAATATGTAGACACATGAGAGAAACAAAGTGTTCCACTTCTTGCTCTCAATTTCAATGAACTAATAAAGGTAACAGCCTCAGTGGAGAATCAAGGCAGAAGCCGAAAGGAATAACAGTCAATTCTTAGTTATCTGTACTAATCAGGGAGAAAAAGACATAAATAATTTAAAAAGAACAGGAAAAAAAAACCCAAAACCTTACTTTAAGTAATGTTCCACCTCTATCCTCACTAAATAGCTTTATTAGTTATTGATGTTACTCTGCTTCCTCAAGGTTGGGTAAGCTTTGGGTTGGAAAGCTCCCTTTCAAAACAATCCCTTCCCCCAGCCTCTCTCTCCAGCTGTCTCAGAAACAAAATAGAGTCACAGTAGGCCTGGTCGGCTCCCAAAAGATGCCTCACTCACCTTAGTATCACCAGTATCTACAACATCTGGTTCATTATAGATGTTCAACAAATGTTTGTGTAATTGACCTGAAACTACACCTAACAGAAATGCAATCCAGTTCCAGCTTGGGCCCTAATTAGTGACAGTCATAGTATTTCCTCATGTAAAAACTAAGGAAGGTGGATTGAGTTATCTCTGGTGCCTCTGGGCACCACCAGGTTGCAGAAAACCAGGGCCTCGCACTCAAATTTGAACTCCAGGTACTGTCATTTCCACAGAGCATAATGGGAGGCCCTCTCCCCCACCAGGACTGTACAACTGCCACATTATCGCATCTTTTCCAGTTTCATGAATTAGTAAATAAGCAATCTTGGAAGACCAAGTGTACATGACCTATTTATTGAACAATCAAATATTTACTAAGTGTCTCCTAGCCCCTATAAAATAGAAACACTTCTCTACAAAGACCTTGCTAATGAATTGTGGAATGCAGGCATATAATGAAAAGGTAACTAACAAAAGGAGTCAGTATGTGATCAATGCCAAATTAATGAGATAGCCAATAAATGCTTTAAGACCTGAGGGATGTGGCAGACACAGAAGGGGCCTGAAGCCCTAGACAAGCAACAGAAATCCAACTTGGTCCAAAGCAGCCTTCACTCATGCATGGGTATAACAGTTGACTGCCATTGTGGTTTAAGGATCTGAACGAACTACCACATTATTTCCTGCTCTTCTTCTGATGAAGCCTACAGCAGCACGCAGTGACAGGTCAAAATCAGAGCAGCAAGAGAAGCTAAAAAACTCTGTGAAAAACCTACTGAGTAAATACCAGGTGGTTACATATTTTTGCCAAGCTCAGGCTGATATTTTGGACATGTACACCTACCAATAGGAGGCCTGTACATATTTTCATATTTACAAATATTTCATTTGAACCATACATACAAACACCTCCAAATAACCTATACAAATAGAGGAATGCTGTAGTGTCCATAATCCCCAGAGTTTACAACATCAAGTCATTTTTAAATGTCTGGGGAGGGCATTGTGATTTTCTGGCAGCAGGTTTATTTTCCTGATCATGTTTTGTACCAGCTATTGCAGCAATGATGCTGTGCTTCCTGAGCACATATGCACCGACAGATGGTGTAAGAGAACTAGAATGATGCTAACTACTTCACAGAAGCCGGCTTGGAATGCAAATGTAATGTGTAGAAAATTAAATGAGGAAAATCAGGAACCGACTCTATTAGTGACTGCCATGCAAAGAATGAAATGTAATCCTAGGAAGTTAAACTATGCCCCCTACAATATTTCTTATAGTAGTGTCCCAAATATCACATTGTTTACTTGTATTATCTTACTTCTAGAGGATAGACTCCTTCAGAGTGGGGGAAAACATCCTATTTATTGTTAAATACACTGTACCTCCCAGAATTAGTGCTTGCTAAATGTGTGAAATGAAAATTAATAAATTGATGGATAAATAAATGACGGTATAAATGTGCAAAGATCTGTGCTTTGTGACAGTCTTCGCCTGAGCACACACTAATCTGAATGTGGATACAGAGTGTTGCTTAGAAACAGAGCTTCTTCTGACTCTTGGCTCTAAAGGAAGCAGCTGACCAGTGCCACACAGACGAGAAACAACCAGGTGGAATGCCAAGCACCAGTACTTTGCTTTTCTCTGCTTCTTGGAGGCCAGACTGCTCGGCACATGTCAAATTAACCACAGGGGAAACCATCTGCTAAGATCTCTTTTTCAAACCACCCACCTCTCTCTTGATGCTGGCCCCGTTTCTAAAAGGAGCAAAGAAAAAGGCTTTCTTCTCTGCACTAAAGATGATTAGAGAAGCCCTCTCCATCTCCTTTAGTAATTCATCTTGTGGTTTCAGCTCAAAACAGGAAGAAGTGAGGTGCCAGTTTGCCCTGACCTAACATTAACAAAATTAACTTTTGTCCTGACAGACAAAAGTAATCAAAGGACTAGTTCAGATAAAATCAGAATTCAGGAGGCAGAGGTTACAAACTACCAACATTGTTGCTTTTCAGAGCAATATATTGCAAAGAGTACAGAACATAATTTAGAGACAAATGGAGAGACATTGGGCAAGTTATTTTACCTTGCTGAGCCTCAGTTTTCTCATCTGTAAAATGAAGTGGTTAACCCCAAATATCCCTTCCATATCTATCTGCAAGAATCTCCAAAATTAAATATATCATAAAAGTCAGTCAGCTATCAAGTTATATGTATTCTGAAATTATTACTCATGTATTATTTATTGTTATTTATTATTATCCTTTCTATGAATAAATCTCTGTGTCACACGCAAAACAATGAAAGACAATTTAAAGAGTCTCTAGTTAATTTTTTAGTCAGAATTATTCGATATTTATACAGAGTTGTACTGTTTCAAATCAATAAAATCATTTTATTTATTCCTCATGTCACCTCTTTGAGATAGGAAAGGCAGATTATTATTCCAATTCTATCGATAAGCAAAGTTTAAGTGATTTCTTGACAACACAAATTGTGCTGTCAACAGCCCAGCGCTGGAGAGAGATAATCCGGGTATAATCAGACTTAAATTTCTGGGAGAACAGTGTGATGTTAAAAAAAAAAAAAAAGCTTCATCAGAGATACTTACTTCAACTCATTGGTTTCCATGCCCTGGGAGATAGCCATGATGATGCCGCCATGGTCTCCCCAAGTATAGTAGTGAGGTCCAGGAAGTGCCTAAAGGGGAAAAGTCAATGCTGATGCCACTGCTGTGGATGTGACTGGACAGAAACCATGCACACATGCGCACACATAGGTGCACGCACGCATGCACACATGCACACAGCAGCCATATAGACCACTTTAGTACAACTTTTCAGTTTCCAGAACATATACACATCCATTATCTCATCTGCTCTGCACAGCCCTGGGGATGGGAAGAGCAAGTTCTCACAAACAATTTTTTTTTCTCAAATGAAGAAACTAGAGTTGCTATTAAAGTGGCAAACTATAAAGACAGGAGTCAAACCCAAATCCCTGACTCTCATCAATAAGTGATTAAAAATTAACCAACCAGAGTTCCAGTTCTTCTATGATTATAAGCCTA